GCTTGTATGTGACTGAAAGCAGGAGTTGCGAGTATTGTCACTATTCTTAAAACATGGATGAAACCTTTGTTAGCAAATGTTTGGCGAATGCTTCATTCCCATGGCAAGCTAAGTCTCTTGCTGCGTATGACAGCCGTTTTCCACGATACTTTGAGCTCAGGGGAAAGCCTAACCTTTCCCGACTTATCTAAAAAGGTTAAACTTTGCTTATTGCAGTTAGTCAAGAAATCAAGTAGGTAACCTGTACATCGCCCATTTCTTCAAAGGTGGTCAGTTTATGATAGCAGCATCCAAAAAGAATCATTGTCGTGATCTTCGGACATGATATAAATATTCGTAATATAGAGACAGAGAGATTTCCGCAGGGGTGTAGCCCAATAATTAAAGCTTTTTCGCCTAAATCAATAGGCCATCTAGATATTCAAAGTTTGCAGAATTTTGGGTTGATGCAGATAGGGCCAGCTGAAGTCTGGAAGTCTACAGCCAGACATTGGAGAAACAAGATGAATAGGTTATGCGCAGAATATGCAATCTTCAGCTCTCTTTTGCGAAAAGGAAACTCTTTTAAGGAGTGAAAATGACTCGTTTGCATGAAACGAATTAAAGTTGCGAAGGACGATTACAGACGTTTTCATTGAGAAAAAGAAAGAAGAGAAGAGGAACAAGAGAGAAGCTGAGTTCAAATGAGGAAGAGTATGCAGAGACGAAGATTCCGAGATATAAAGGAGGAATATAATGGGTTCCTCGAAAGCGAGGGGTTTTACTAACGCCAACATAAGGAGGAACATTCAGGCAAGACTCCTGAACAAACTGACATACTACCAACATGAATAAAGTGCTCGCACAGCTAAGAATTTTTTCTTGAAGTCAAACTATCCAAAAACCACTCACCTTCAACCAGACTTTTCAGGATGAAAGAGAATCCATTATGCACTGATTCACGCAAATATTTCGGTGTTGCGAATTCTTTAACAACCCGTTGTAAACGATTACTCAATAAAATAGACCGCTGGATCAACTAGAAGAGATTTGTATGGTTTACACGGAGAATCGTGCAATTTTTTAAAAAACAGACTTCGCCATTCTGCTCGATAGAGATAATCTTACATTTCGGTGCGGATACAGATAGCATTCGAGCAAGATGGCCCATTCCAGCGCCAACATCAATAACGGCGTCAAATGAAGGTGCTGAGAGTAATAACACTATAGACAAAGCAAAAAGTGGTAGATAATATGGGCCCATTCCAGAAACATAAGAATTGATTGCGGCGTTTTGCAAAAAGCATGCAGTACCTGGATTAGATGTTCTCAGCAAATCAACTGTTGTTACAATACGATCAATCTCATGTTGCTTCTTCGGTTTCAGTTTTATCCTTAAATTCTCTCGTGATGTGATCGTCGCGAAACTTTTATGCTGAAATTGGGAATCAAGCCCATTTGACAGGTTTATTACCCAAATTCTTCCTCACCAGGACATTCTGGATGCCACAGGCGTTAGCTATGTCGTCAGGAGATCTTACAGCTTCTCTAGAAGGAAGAGCTTTTACAAGAGCTTTGAGACATATCAACACAAGAGGAAGCACTCTGTCATGAGAATGTACTGTTGCGTCCACAAGGCACACACAATCATCCGGCTGTAACAACGTAGTGTCAGAACAATCACCTATGACTAACGTGATGCCCTAATATATTCACATCAAAAGCCCTTAAATAAAACTTCATCTCAGCCACAAATTTAGAAAGATTAATTCGAAAAGTCCTTCCGAAAGAATCTCGTTCGCACTCTATTTCAAATAAAATTCGGACTTGCCGAATGCTAGCTCATTAATAGACCCTTCATACCCGAGCATTCCAAAGGATTCTGCGTCTTGCGACTACATATTTAAATCATTTATTCTAAGACTCTCTTGACTTCTGTACCTCTTCAGAACTTATACTACACAAAAATTCTATGAATATTTGCTCCACTTAATGCCTGTTACTAACCCTTCATATTATGGTCGCAATTGAATCCAAAACCTTAACATGCCTCTCACACTACCTCAATATTTTCCAAAACTAGTCGCCAAGAGTATGGTAGCTTATTCCACATATCGTCAACAAAATAATTAATCATATATGAATCAATGAGCCATGAATACTTTTCCAAAACATAATCAAACAGGACATCCATCTGAAACCACTTGAAGAGCTCGCCGCTGATGATTCAAAACAAAGTATTTAATTTTAATGGAGACAACATCTAACAATTTGAGGTAAATCAATAACAACTTTATCAACCACTCGTAACAAAACAATAGACATTTATATGATGCCAATCTTGTTGGCGCAATCCAACGCATCGTAATCAGTCGTTAAACGGATGTACGCCTTCTTTTCCAAGAGGGGAGTGATGAGCGTATTGATCTGTAAAAGTATTGGTATCACTATAATTAAAGCACCATTGAAGACTATTTGTATCTTAATGGATGGAATTGAACACTTTTTTCCTTTACCAATATTCGGTAATCAAGAGGAGAGATTTGAAGTCAAGCTGTATTTAAGCCCTGGGATTAACCTATGATGTATAGAGAAAACTCATTTGTTGATAGCAAGATCAACAATGAATCCGGAAGACCGAGTTGTCTAGACAGGTTTTCAGTGGCTCGACTTGGCTTCTTTTAACAGAGAGATGAATACATTGTTTCCATAGCTACGTTCTGCGTCCGGAAATCTGTTCCTTTCCATCGTTTCAGAATTTTTCTCGAGATAAAAAT